TTGTTGATAAACTTCTTTGATATGTTCTCTTGAGTTAATTTCATTCTCTAACTCTACGCTAGTTGGTGTTAGCGGTCTTGCAATGTCATCATCAAAACTGTTACGCCGACTGTATGGGATTTCTAATGACATGGGTTCTTCTTGTTGCATGAGAGGTTCATGCACTTCACTTTGTTGCCTAGGTTACATGGATAGAAAGATGATGGATGAGCACATGCAGGTCTGGTTAGTGAATGAAGATGAATATCATACAAAAAATCAGTTAGATTTATTAAGTTGAACTGCATGCATGATTTGTTAAGTTATACTTTGTCTGAATATTGTACCAAAATCTCACCTTATGAATACTATAACTAATATTTGCATATCAAGAATACTAATAGGGAAATATTTGCATATCACAAATAGTTTCCAAATATTTTCAAATTATACATACTAATACAAACATTCGCAAATGATCAGTAATACAAAAATATTTGCATATTATGAATAGTAATCCCTCAGCCAGATACAAATACAGACTGCTTCATACAATATAACCTAGGACAAAATAGTGTGTTTCATTGCATATACACTGTCAATCACAAATTATTAAATACTCTTTTTGTTATTGTTTTGTTTTTGTTATTCAAGCCACGACTTGTATTGGTCATTACTGGGAAATGCACCAACCACAGTAGATGTAGAGGTAACAAAGAGTGCAGTGGTGCATGTATATGCCAAGCACTCTGACAGTCAGTACCAGTATACACAATAAACAAGTCACACTATTCTGTCTTTAGTTGTTCACCACCACCATCAACTGGCCATATAGAGCAGTCACAACACAAGATAAAACAAATAGTTACTGGAGAGGCCATGTACAGTAAGCAATGTTAACAACGTGTAAATACATCATGCACATAGAAAAGCTCATCACTTCCTTCTGTGCAGAAAACAATTAACAAACACACACACACAATGAGATGAGCAACAATGTTATGTGTCCAGTGCCATTTTAGCTTTCAACTGTCAATGTTAATTTTGTACCAGCTGTACCAGAAATTACATCATTGGAGCAGAAATGCATTTTGGGATGTTTGCAATGAAACTTGTGACACGGTCATTGAATTTGTGTGCTTACAACTACAATGCATCATGAAATAATAATGCAAATATTATTCACATCAACAATTCATGATATAGTTAAAATGCATGTGTGATTGTTTTGTAGAAAAAGATGAAAAAGAAAACTCTCAATGACCTAAATATCATCACACTATTATGATAGTGTATTTTCTTGGTTACAACCCAAAATTTCCCTCCCACAAAAAATAAAAATCACACACACACAAAATACAAAATGCTACTTTTGGTTTATTTGTTTTGGCGGGAAAATATTTGCTCATTGTTGGGATAGTGCATGGTAGTGAAGGCAAATACGAATACATGTATTAGGAAGCAGAGCTTTGAAGATTGACATACCGTTGAAGGACGTCAAAGAGACTGCTCCAACTATAGTAAGCAGGAAGTAATTTTGGGAGGAATGGTAAAAATGAAATAAAATGCAGAAGCAAAGGAATAAAGATGTTCTAAGAATACAGTTATTAGTATGAGAAGAGGAGTTAACAACCTATGGGGCAAACTCAGGTAAAAATTTTCCCGCCAAAAAAGAACTGTCATTAATTATCAAATGTCTGACATTCTAATGCCATTTTGGCAGAGCAATTCACATGCTGAACTTTTAACATTTTGATTGTGGATTTATTATACAAAAAAAAAAAAACTAAATCATTTGTGTAAATAGCAGGCAGGATTATAGCATTAATTATCAAAGTTGTTGGATTCATGTTGCCAATACGAGGAAATTAGAAAATAGATCTTACCTGGGGGAAAGTTACACACCTACAGCATAGCATGGAAATGGAAGACAACAAAACAAGAAAACAACCACCAGGTTCACCATGACCACAGTAAAACACAATGTTATTACATATAAATTGCTACCACCAAAAACAGGAAAAGTCAGCCCTAACTCAGCTTATAATGCAATGACCCATCATTTATTACAAAACAATGGGTTATTCCAAAACAGCTTACAGGGGTGTGAAGGTCAAGTATAAGGTATGTGTATACATTTATACTTCTACATTGCATAATGATTGTTGGTATATGTGTACATGGTGCATTCCATTGTAAGACAAATTTAACTTTCCCTGTTTTTGGTGGTAATTATTATAGGACATGACTGAGGAACACTGTAACTTGAAAGATAGTGAGTAAAACCGACAAACATGCAGAAAAATAAAATGGAATCACTGCTTTAGATATAAGGAGACAATATATAAGACTAGACCTCTCCACAGTTGTCAATACTTGCGATAACTGATGTTAGATGACTAACAAATTGATGTACATACCTGACTTTACTGGGTCTTCTGCTGTTGTTTGGTGTTGTATCAGGCACTGGGGATGGTAATGGTTTGAGGGAATTGATTGGCGAGACATTAAGTGAATTCGGTGGTGAAGCATGTAGAGAATTAGAAGTTATATTTGGTGAAGGTGGTGGACGATGGTTGCTTCTGCTTGGATTCTGCGGTGATCTCTTCAGAGAGTTTGAAGGTGAGAGTTTTGGTTGAGAGTTGGTTGGGGAAAGCGCATTTGATTTATTATGTGGGAGTTGAGGTGTTGGTACTGACTGGCGTCTTGAGTTGTGATAGGCACTGATAACTGTACCAAACAGACTATGACTCCTCTGTCAGGGAATAAAAAAAGGAAATAAATTAGTTAATATTGTGATTGGCTAGCATAATTGGTGCTTCACTATGACATAAACACTGACATCACAAACTGATGGACATCAGCTCTAAACAAAGTCAATTCAAAGTATACATTTTGTATGATGTCAGACTGATTACAAAACTAGGTAAAGTACAGTCAATAAGCTGACTCAACTTGATTTTAATACTAGATTCTGACAAAATCATTCCTGTAAAAGAGCACACATCTTAACACTGACCCTATGTGAGGGTTCCTCAGGTTCTTGTTTTTCAGTGACTTCCTCTCCAGCTTGTTCTTCCTCATCTAAATTCCCAGAAATAGCACGCCGTATCTCTGGTCCGATGTCATGTAAGGTGCGTAACCCAGCCTACAGAAAATGCATAAATATAGGAACAATAAATCTCCTCTGTGACCCGAATCCCAAGAACCAGATCCACCACAGACACTAGTACCCAAGTCATAAACCTAGTGAAGATTAGTATCCTAGTCACAAACCTAGTAAACACTAACATCTAAGTCACAAACCTAGTGAGCATTAGTACCCAAGTTCATGTATGTATTGGGGTCTAAAAACTAACTCTGCGACGCGATTGTGCGACTCGCCGAATGTTGATTATTGCACTCTGCGACAGGATCGCAGTGTCACTCTGCGAAGAGCACGATTCCTATTTGTTGGTGGGTCGAACAGCGCAAATTCCAATGGTCGATGTTCACTGCATGACTTATAAAAAATTAAGTTTTAAATGGTAAAAATGGTACGGTAAAAAAAAAAGTGTCTAAACACTATGTACCGGCGACATGCTGTTCGGTGATGGGCAAGCACATAGAAGACAAATTGTGGGACCAAACAAATGACACATGGTTTACGGTTTTTAGACACATCACACCGCTGGCTAGAAAAATTAAATAGTGTAACGTGCACGTTGGTTTTGACTGCCTATTTACGGTGTAACGTTATCGCACTCTTGGAGTTGTAAGGCTTCGTCCCGACGACTATGCTCATTAGCATAGGCGGCAGCTTCAAAGCGAGTGGAACGCGAAGTACTTTTCACGCGTTCTGCAACGAATGCTGAACGTCAGCTTTGACTTTGTTGAGAGCATCAGGGAAAATAATTTGAATGCAGTGAAAAAAAATCATTCACGATGTGCAATGTTTTGCCATACATCAGTTGTTTGCAATGTCTGCCTTCAATTAGATCATAAACGGACTCCAAACTTGTAGGTCTACGATCGATTAGCTGGTATTTTAACCAGAAATGAAATACTTTGTAACAGTCGTGAAAAGTAAACAAAAACGCCGTTGGTTTGTGGTATGAATGGAATTGTTTTTGTATCATAATTTTCAAAGTCAGTATTACTGAAAATTATGGTTTATTTTTTTTTAAATGAACGTCAAATTTCGGTGGTCCATATTGATCTTAATGTAGCGGGAGGGGAATTTTTTTTATCTTGATTTTTCAATAATTGAAAATTTGTACCTTGATTCATCATCCCAGCTTTTCGAAATTTCGGATAGACCAGTGCTCAAACGCTAATACTACTACCGTTTCGTTAATATTTGCATAATGTTTATAACATGTATATGTATACTACCGGTAATACTCTGTTGTTGACGATTCTGATAGAACGGGTGACAAGCTTCCTGTCGCAAACAATGCATATTTCTCTAACGTCCATTGTCAGCATTATTATCAATCAAGACTTCGTCTGAGAAATCGTTTTATTTTCTAAGTCTATATTCTATTTTAATAACACCATCTTACTAACGCAATGCCGATGTTAAAAAAAGCAAAGACGCCAATGACAAGACGAGGCAAAGAAAAATCTACAACTAAGGGTCATATTTACTAATTTAGACTTGCCTACAGCCTGTCGTGATTCCGATATAAAATTACAGGACTTTCGCGTTCACCCCTCGTTTACGCAATTTATATTTATTTTTCAAGAATTTTTCATCTAGGTCATATTATGACCAACCTCGCGAGTGGTTCGAAAGGGACGACTAGGCTGAAATATTCGCATCAACGCGAAAGACTTTCAGCTACTTAACCGATGACGACACCGATACGCGAGACCGTTGAGGGTCGGTGATCAGACAAGGAAGTGAGTACAGGAAATCTGTTGCTCGTCGACATCGGCCAAATAAACAAAGCCATCGTTCCGTTTATGCAGAGAGCGTGACACTTCTGTTTTAGTTTTCTATCTTTAGCAGTAGTTTCAATCCATTCACAATCACATAGCTTTACATTTTTGTTCTCTTAATATTCTTAATAAAACGATATTGATTGCCTAGAAACAGTTTGACCCACTACACGCTTTATTTGGGAATTTAAAGTGATGAATATAGTCATAACAAATTATACTTGCTAATGAAAAAAAAAATAACGTAACATCGTGTGAAACGTACTTCGCACTCTACTCGCTTTAAAGCTGCCGCCTATGCTAATGAGCATTGTTGCGGACGATGCCTTACAACTTCAAGATGGCGTTAATGTTACCAGCTCCTTGATGTTACACCGTAATAAGGCAGCCAACACCAACGTGCATGTGTTTTGTAACCCCTTTCATCCCCTCCGGGGGATGTTATATATGTTAATAAATCAATGTTAAATACTTGCTGATTACTGAACCGTGCGGCATGTCGGCGGTAAATACTTGTTTACCGTAGTTCGCGAGCAGTCGGCGAAATAACCATTTAAAACTAAACATTTCCATAAGGCATGCTGTGTACCCTTACATCGATCGACCATTGAGATTCACGCTTTTCGACCCACCAACCAATGGGAATCGTGCCCTTCGCAGAGTGACATTGCAATCCTGTCGCAGAGTGCAATAATCGACATTCGGCGAGTCACACAATCGCGTCGCAGAGTTAGTTTTTAGACCCCCATACATACCTCCCAAGTTACAAACCTATTGATATCTTATTACAAACAAAGTAAACAATATTATCTATTGAAAGTCACAAACCTAGTGAACACTAGCATCTAAGTCACAAACCTAGTGAACACTAACATCTAAGTCACAAACCTAGTGAGCATTAATACCCAAGTTACAAACCTAGTGAATATCTTAATTACAAACGGAGAAAACACTATTATCTATTGAAAGTCACAAACCTAGTGAACACTAACATCTAAGTCACAAACCTAGTGAGCATTAATACCCAAGTTACAAACCTATTGAATATCTTATATACAAACAAAGTAAACAATATTATCTATTGAAAGTCACAAAGCTAGTGAACACTAGCATCTAAGTCACAAACCTAGTGAACACTAACATCTAAGTCACAAACCTAGTGAGCATTAATACCCAAGTTACAAACCTAGTGAATATCTTAATTACAAACGGAGTAAACACTATTATCTATTGAAAGTCACAAACCTAGTGAACACTGGCATCTAAGTCACAAACCTAGTGAACACTAGCATCTAAGTCACAAATCTAGTGAGCATTAGTACCCAAGTTACAAACCTATTGAATATCTTAATTATAAACAAAGTAAACAATATTATCTATTGAAAGTCACAAACCTAGTGAACACTAGCATCTAAGTCACAAATTTAGTGAACACTAGCATCTAAGTCACAAACACAGTCAACTCTAGTATCTCGTAACAAACCTAGTGAACAATACCACAGATATATTCATGCTTCATTACAATATTTGTAATATTACACCAAGCACATTCAGCTAATCAGGATTGTGATATTAATAGAAAACACCTTTCACTTAGAGTCTAAGCATTTTGAATGGAACATATATGTTCATATACATTTTAATAGCAATTAGAATCGTGTAAAACACAACAGATTCTATTTAGAATTCACCATCTGTGATAACTTCTATATATTAAACATCTAATTGTATAATAATTTGAGGGGGGGGGGGCTATTCACTTGCACAATTTTTGAGAGTTTATAAGTAAAGTAGACTACTAAAGATTGTATCCATGATGTGAGATGACATCTTAAGCACAATATGCATTGTTACAAACATCAATAATGGATGACCAGGGAATACAACTGACATCTATGTAAAAAAGAGTTGAATTTTACCATCACCTGTAAGTTAGCTACCATGCCACCATCGTGGCCATGCTGTTTTTGTTGCTCCTGTTTGCGCTTTTTAAATCTTCTAAAGTAATCTTGAATTAAGAAGGTTGCATAGAATTTACCGACAGTCACTTCATCATCGGCTGAAAGAACAAGAGGTCAAAGGTTAAACAGTAACTATTCAGAATGAGATAAATATTTGATTTATATGAATTTTAAACATTCCAATAGCTGTCATTCGAACAAACATGTTGAAAGCAATCCATAATTATAGTACTACATGCAGGGAAGATAATGCATGGATTTTTGAAAATGCTATTATATGTTTCCATGGACATGAAATCAAGCCCACCTAAGTTACCTTAACAATGTTGTTCATATGTAACTGAAGTATAATTATATCAACTGGTGTACAGTTAAATTAGAGGTTCACTTATTTGAAAGAATAAGGCATTTACATTTTTAATGACAAAATATTCACTAAAGAAATCATCAGAAAATGAACAAATCTGACAGAGGTCCACCCAAGGCACCTCTTATCATGCAATCAAAGCAATTGGGCTGTTAGTTTTCAAGAAGAAGTTGAAATCCAACTTTGGATGACAGCTGTCACATGAACAATATCTTATAAAACAACTCTGTTCTGTCATTTTCAAAAACAGTGAAGCAAAAAATAAGGAGAGGGGGTATAATGAACATGACAAACAATTACTCACATCCTGCTGGAGGAACCACTTGATCCAACAATTTGTTGTTGGTTCTTTTCCAAATCTTCTTGATAACTCCTCTCAACTCCTCATTAGCTTGATCAATATTGCCTGTGGTACATATTTAATAAATACATAGTTTATAAGAATGAAAAATTATGATATGATGATATAAGGAACCAATAATATTGTGATATAAGCGAGCACTAATGAAAAACAATCATTGACACTATTCACCTACCTTCAGTTTTAATTTTCAAAGATGTTCTGACAAGTGCAAATAGTGTGGCATTGAACATGACAGTCCCATCACTATTTAAAGGCATATTCATTGTTACCAACCTCTGGAAAACAAGTCAACACAATTAATTACTGTCAATTTCAAGTTTATAGAGACACATGTTGTTTTTACATCTAAGCATCATTTTCAACATGTCAGAAGACCCCACATACCTTACAAGCCACTCTGTGAGGGCAGAGTTTACCAAATCCAAGTGGAGGAGAAATACGTCTCAGCAAGGTGACAACATCAAGGTGCTTTATTCGACCACTGAAAACAATTACAAGCACATCACAGTCAGATGATGGTAGTGAAATGATATTTGAAATATTTATGAAAGTAAATTAAAGAACTCATTTAAGTTTCCTTTGAAACTGTGATACAAAAACACTGTCATGATCATGAGTAATATACATGTAAACTTTGTTTATCTTGACAAAACAATTCAGTTTTAGAAGGCCAATGTACAGTATTTTAAGATCTGACGCCATTATATACAAGAGTTGTATCATACTATCAGCTGAACAAAGCAATATTAACACATTTCTGACTTGGACAACTGCCAACCACCATTATAAGCAACAAACAAAGGAATTATTTAGAATTTTCTGCCACAATCAACATCAGAAAACCATCCTGCGAAAACAATAATTGTGCACAGATTGGAATAAAATCCAGTGGAAACACATGATCTATGTGGCTTGTGTGGATTGAGAAGAACCAGCATGTAGACTAGAGAAATATACATAATCTGAATAATGTGCTTCGCTAGCTACATGTATATGCCTATTTGTAATCCCATTAACATGGCTACTTGTTGGGAAGAACACGATATGACAACATGAAGAGCAAATACTTTTAATATTTTTTAATGGTATATAATCATAGGGTAATGATGCTGTTCAAAACAGTGTTCTCAAGTGATCATCTATACATTGCTGAACTGAAGCCATGCTGTGCTCACATTCAAATATATTGCGATAAAGTGACTTTATAGTATATTATACAAACTTATGCATATTCATAAGATAATGAAACTCCCTGGTTTACTTATAAACAAAGTCTACTAGTTTATTCATAATTTAACATAAGCACATTCTCAAAACAGTGTTTGTGTTTGAGTTGACATCAATAACATATC